TTAAATTCGAGGCCATTGTGTGCAATATCAGAAGATCCTGAAGATATTGACTTTTTGACTCCAAATCATTTTCTAACCACCAGACCAGGTGGTACTATCATTGAAACAGAACACGATGCTAGAACGCGATGGTATCTCATGTCAAGAACATTTCAAGATTTGTGGAAGCGATGGAAAACTGAGTATTTAGCCCAGCTCTCAGCAAGAAGCAAGTGGCTGAAGACGAAGGAAAATATGAAAATAGGAGACCTTGCCGTTATTCACGAAGATAATTTGCCAGCAGGCAAATGGGCCTTGGGGAGAGTGGTTGAAGTTCACCCTGGTAACGATGGCTTGGACAGGGTCGTAACGTTAAAAACAAAAAACGGATTGATCAAACGCCCTATAATAAAGCTGTCAATCTTACCCTTAAATAAAGTATCAGAGTCAAGTGGTCAGAATAAGGAAGTTAATATAGAAGAAAAATCGAAATAAAGGCAAAAAAGAACTAGAAAGCTTAATTTATCATCATAATTATCAAAAAACCAAAAGTTATAAACCGATCCCTTCAATTCAATCATCGAACAACAAACATATTGTCGCATTATCGCAATTATATCACGAGTACCAAGAACTGGAGTACTATAACGAATTGCATGCACCGTCTACAGTACCTTTATTATTGTTGTGACGTATACATTATCAAAATCATATGTGACGATCGCGTTACACTACACCGTCTGGAGCGAGCCGGCATTGCAACGATACATCAGCAATGTATTATAAAGGGCACTTGACTTTACAATGCATTCTTTACAACCATTATCTAATAAAATGAATGTTTTACCTATCATTGACGTACCAAATTTCCAAAAAATTAATTACGCCTTCAATATCAGCATACCATAGTCAAAAATGGCAGTAACGAGCAACCGCGACGACCGAGCAAGAATGTCCACCAAGAGCTTCGTCTGACAGTGCCAGTGCAGTGGTGAACAATGTAGTGTTACCGCGAAAGCAGAGCACAGCTGACCGTCAGCTTAGTGATAGTGATAAATGCGGCATTGAGTTTGACAATATTAGTGCGCGGCCACATGCAAAGGTCACTCGCTGGCCTAGTGTAATTCGAAGTGCGCGTAAACAGGACAAAGCCACTTGCCCTATAGTTCATAAGCGAATATCAGACTCTCTAGTATAAGATTGTAGACTTTAAGTTAATTGTATGTATCATCATTTATTTGCAATTTGTCATGTATCTATCAATCATTACGATTCATTTTATCTCTCGCCCGGGAGCATGTTCAGTTCAATATTGAACCAAACAGCTTTGTTTGCACTTTTTACCTAAAGTCCATCAATACGTTGTAAGCATTAAAATATACCGCGACAATCAATCAGTTCACGTTCGGTCATCAAGCAAACCACGCGTTCTCAAAATATCATACCTAATTATCATAACTATCATAAATATCATATCATATTATAAGTATCATTTTAACTGTATCAATTTAGTAATAAAGTGTTTCATATCAGTACTATTATCATTTATATCATCATAACCGGTGTTAGGAGTTAGCCCCTACACTCCTCCTTTTTGAAATCGATTGAGAAACGGAAAAGAAGGCGTGTAGCTCCTTCTGAAGACCGGACGTATCCACAGTTCTTAGGCCGGGTCGCTTCAGCTCTAACTCCCTGATGGTTTTAGAGCTCAGGCGATCCTGACATTCCTCACGGACACCAAACACAAATGGTGAATGCCATTTGCGCCACAAGCCATCTGCGGCTTCCAAGACCAATAACAATATAGGACCTCAGATGTAGATCTCGAATGTCCCTTCCTCTGAGATATTCCCATAATGGCCAGAATAATAGCCCGACGAAAGTTTGTGCCGCGGGCAGTCACAATGGTGTCATCGTTGTAACATGTCATTTTGACACCCCAGAGATAGGCAACTCGCAATACCCACTCTTAACCTAAGTTCCTTAGGAGTGACTGTAATAGTAGTGTAATAGCGGAGTAGGGGACATAGCTGCTCTTACCTGCCCTCGTAGAGACAAAACCGAGTTATTTAAGACTCCCACCCGCTATGTTCCACCTAGGGTGCATGTTCGGCATGGCTACGTAAAACCTTTTGCACATTTCCGCAATCCTACCAGCGCAGGCCGTTTCAGCAGTTCCCACCCTCAGGGGAACAACCTCTCCTCACAAAAGATGGGCGTGAAGTAGGAGTGTTACACTTCTACGTTTCATCTTGTGAGCCGGAGCCCGCTTTATTACAAGGTAGCAACGCATCTGCAACCCTACGGGTGTTGCAAATGTCCATGGACGGCGGTAATCACTTAACATCAGGTGAACCGCCAACTCGTTTGCTACTTTCTTACATAAAAAAAATCCCACAGGTAAGGGTCACTTGAACAGTCAGCGCACCTTCCGACTCGGCCCCTTTTACATGACCAACGAACTCCCCCGCGTTCGCACACCAGATCACATGGAGCCAAGAGAGCCGGCCTCCAGGTATGGACCTAGTCTGCGGCTCCGCCGCTCACCACGTTCCGGCCGCGGAGGGTAGGCAGAACAGCGTATCGATACTGACCTTTCCTAAGAGCCCGATCCTGGCGCGTTTGCACACTAACGCCCGGTTTCTGAAACACTGGATCATCGTAACAGTTAAATAATCAGCTGTGAAAAGGCTTTTCAAGCCATTTGATAGCTGATTAGTTAACTTCTACGATGATCAGTGTTTCAGAAACCGTTCGTAAGTCCGATAACGTCTAATGTTCAACAGCAATCTGAAGCCTCTTATTTTAAATTTATAATAATAGAACCTAACAAGCTCAATTTCATATACAGGGTGGCTTTACTAAAGGTGCCCAAATTCATATAGGACGTTCAGACTCGATAGTTTAATCCTTTATTAAAATAAAAACATTTTTTTTCCCAAAAAAATTGCCATTCTATTAGAAAACAGAACTTGTTGCGGCAGTCATTCATAAATGCGACGTATACTTTTGAATCGAACTTGTGTGCGTGTTAGTTATGAATGATCGCGAGTAAAATAAATGAGTTGCCTATAAATCACACACTTGAGATAAGTTCAAATGACTGTAATTAAATATTTACGAGTGATTTTAAATAAGTATTTATCATTTTTATATAACATTATTTATGTCAAAAATTTAAATTAAAAAAAATGGATACACTTAGAAAAGCCTCCCTGTATATTCAAGCTGTGGCAGATAAGAATAAGAATTTTAAGAATACACATTTTGTTAGTTTATCCGTTACCGACCATGGACAGTGGCATCACACTAAAGAATACACTTCCCATTTTGTTGGTATTTGTGATACGTATAATGTATAACTGCCAGAGATATATAATAGTACTCTTTGATGACTGCCTTATCTATCACAAGTTAGGGATGAGCATGTAAAAAAATATATCTATATTTATCGTTCGACGTATTGTAATGATGTATCGATAATTATCTAGTGAAAAATATTGATATATCGTTTGTTTTCGCATGATTATTCACACATATTTACAAACAATTCAAAGTTCATAAAAAGAAATAGACACGGCGAAAAAAGTTAAAAATATTTTTTAAAGTTAACGATACAATGACGATGCAAAGAGTATCTATTTAACCATTAGCATAACACATCAAACCATGGTTGGATTAAAATATAGCGAAATTGACACGAATTCGATAGTGTAAAATAAATATCGAAGATTGATATATATAACTGTGGTAGGGCCACGCAGCAGCCACGGCTGTTTCACGAATGGGCAGGCTCGTCCGGTTCCGCTCCGACCGGATTCCCGCCTTAACGTGGCAGAGGGGCTTAGTAGCCGTGGCTTGGTCACCCACGGCGAAAATAAGAAGAACCCACACTGGGCCGGCCTGTGGTGTAAGGCCGGCCCGAGAGGACCGCACCGAGTGGGCTCAATGAACCCACTCTGGATGTGTGCTGGAGGATGCAGGGGACAGGTCTAGGGTGGTAGAGGTGGAGCTACTCTCCCTGTCTTCTGCTACCGAGGAGGACTCGCGGGGGAAGAGGAGTGTCGGTATTGCGTTAACCGCGCTCCCTATCCTCCGCGACTCAACGGGGCTGCACCGCTAATGCTGTGGTGGTGGGGCCGTTGGGGGAGAGTAATGACGGTATTGCAATGCGCCATTCTCCCTACCCTCCGTGGCCGAAACGTGGTGAGCGGCGGAGCCACAGACCAGGTCCGCCAGTGGGGGCTGGGAGACTTGATGCTTATTAGCACTGGCTCTCCTGGCTCCCATGGCCCCGGTCAGCGAACTCGGGGGAGTCCGTTGGCCTTGAAAATGGGGCCAAGTAGGAAGGCGCGCTGAATGTTCCAGCGCGCCTTACCTGGAGGTGGGGAGTTGCTCCGGGAGGGGGCTGTTGAGGCGGCCAGCGCTGGCAGGGCCGCGGAAGTGTGTGAAAGTGTTCCCGTGACCCTGCCGATATACGCCTAGGTGGAACATCGTGGGGGTTTTAGTCCGACATAACCCGCTCTTGCCCCCGCGAGGGCGGGTATGCGAAGGCATTTCCCCCACGTAAAAAAAAAGGCTCGTCCGGGTAAGTACCACGACCTCGCAAAAGACCGGCGTAAAGAGGTAGAATAATACTTTCGCGTTTCGTCTAGCGAATGAGATAGCCGGAGCCCAATTTTCAAAAGGTTGTCAAAGCATCTGCAACCCTCGGATGTCCATGGGCGGCGGTATTCACTTAACATCAGGTGCTCAGCAACTGAGCTCAACTACAACTTGGCAACTTTTCACATAAAAACAATTATCGCAATAAAAATATCGACGATATATATCGAAAAATATCGATATTTTTATATTTCGACATTTTTTGCCCATCCCTATTATCTGTGACAAACATAAAGTAAAAAAAAAGTGCAGTGCAGTTTCTCGGTGAATCATTAAAATATAATTATATATTTGCGAATGTGCAAACACTTGTACACAAGTTCTTTGTAGCTCGTTTTTATATAACATTTTTTAAAATGGCTAAACCTAAAACAGATGACGCATCAGAGGAGGCCAAGAAAATTGTGGATGATGCTAAAAATTTTATTGAGAAAGCTATCGGAGACATTGGAAAAACATCTGCAACTAAACAACTTATTTTAGGAACTGCATCAGGATGGTACGTAGTTCGAAATAAGCCTAGTACGTATTTCGTTATATGTTATTTTCATTATTAGCCACCACAATTTTCCTTTGCAGGATTACTGGCTTTATAACCATGAAAATCGGTAAATTTGCTGCTGTTGGAATTGGCGGAGGCGTTATCCTATTGCATATTGCTAGTCAAAAAGGGTACATTGACATTAATTGGGAAAAAATCAATAAAAAAGTGGACAAAATTAGCGACAAAATCGAAAAGGAAGCAACTGGAAAGTCACCTGATTGGTTTGAAAAAGTAGGTCATACATTCAGAAGTTTACTTGGTACCTTTTCGTAGTTCAGAAAATTAGTTTTACACAATACATAATATGAGGGTACTGGTTTTTATAAAGTTACTGACCAGTTGCTGTTTATATAATATATTTGGGATTTACATGATACTATCATACTATTCTTGCAAAGTGCTTACTTTCTGTTGCAGGTATTAACATTTGTCAAAGATGATTCCTATTATTCAGCAGGGTTTACTGGTGGATTCTTTTTTGGAATTGCATCTTCATGAATATCAAAATTTGTTATACAGTTAACCTAAGTGAGTTTACTATTTTATTGAGCTGGTCAAGTAAAGTTTAAGTACATAATTAAAACTAAAATACATTTATAATTGATTAAAAGAAGAATGCAATTAAATAAAAGTGCTGCAAAAATATTTTTAAACAATCTATCATGTTACAAAAATGGGAATTTACAGTACTATTTTATATCTTAATTTGAAATTGTGTAAATTTCAAAAATATTAAAATGTTTGATGACCTCAATCGGCAGTAACTTTATTAGTTCAAGTACTTGAAAATACACTAAAAAAGGGAAGGAACATACTTCCGTAATTCATACTTTTAAGTTAACGGCATACTGTGTCAAATGTATCTCATATCTGTTAGAGCAAGAATTAAGGCAAAAAATGTTGGCTTTAAGATAAAAATTTCAATGCAGCTAATATTTTATTTTGCAGGTGGAAAGATTTGTGGATCGTAAAATTGATAAAGCTGAGGAATTATTAAAGAAAAAAGAAAAAAAGGCAAAGACTTGGTTCAACACCTTTACTGGAGAAGACCACTACCAAGCAACAGAATCACACATTTTCATGGCATCTTTTGTAGCCGGCTTAGCTCTTGGCCTCATTTGTGGCAAATAATTACATCTTTAGGCGTTTTCACTTAAATATTTAAAAATCTATATAGAATCTATTAATGTTTATGTTGATTAGTTTCGTGATCATCACCTTAGTATCCATAAGAAATTTATATAATTTAATATGTTGTACCTAACTTCCAGTATTTTTAATTAATGTGAAATAAATGTAATCCTTACTTTACTTGTTTTTTGTTACAACAAAAATTTGTTGAATGTGTCATTTTGATAAATAATTCAAACAAATAAATGAGACAAAAAAAGTTGTGATGCAAAAAGCTGCAACCTTAAACTCTAACAGTTAATGTAATATGATGTCAATTCTTTGTTTGTTTATTTTTGCAGTTTTGATCAAGGCATAAATAAAAACAGGAGTGTTTTAATAGAAAATTTCACCTAAGGAAAAAAGCATTGTGCCCTCCATAATCAACCCACAGCAACTGGCTTAATCTCGATCAGTTCTCTGAGTCCCTTAGATTGATAATAAACTTGGCAACAATTGAGATGAAGAAAACCTTTAATGATGAACTAGGACTATTTTTTGTTACTTCTCCATACCTCGTTCGAGTATCCGGTGAACGACCGTGCGTTAAACAAACTTCTTGCCGAAAGGTAAATGACTACCCTTTAAAACTAAGCTTTTGCTTGTTCCATCATTAATTTTGTCCATTAACGACTATGCTGTGTGTTATCCGGACCTATCCCAATCTCGTCTCGAAAAATTGGAGCCACTTCTCAATATAGCATAAAATAGCAAATAGCTGCATTAGATTTATTTTCAGTTTACGCAAATATGACCATTAATCTTCTTACCGTCGCAAGCTTAACTGGCTTTCCATCCAACAGAGGCGCAGCTCCAGAATTCTTTTAATATTGTATTCTGTATTATTTAATTCTAATTCTCCTTCATACCTTCACTCTGGCCCTGACAGAGTAACTCGTTCCATCAACCAACTTAAGAATCACATTCCTCAACATAATACAGGGTTCTTTACGAGGGCATATTGAAAAGTTTTGAGCCTAAGGTTGACATTTAAATTCAAAAGAAAAAATAATACTGGCACGTAATAGCCATTTCTTTTTTAATTATAATCTGCTGTCTTTTGTTTTTCTTCTGTCAGAATTGCTAAATTTGTGATCGATTTAACAAACAAAGTTCGCGATTTCCGTAGAAATGGATAATGGAAATGAATAATTCCGTAGAATTGAGCACCGTTCCGTCATAAAATATTTACAAAAAAAAAGGATTAACGCCAAAACAAATTTATGAAGACATGTACGAGACTTTGGGGGAATCTGCTCCATCATATGCCACTGTCAAAAGGTGGGTAGTGGGTTTCAAACGTGGCAGAGAAGCAGTGCAAGATGAACTTAGGAGTGGTAAGCCGCCGACGGATACCACAGACGAAAATACCAATAAAATATTAGACCTGATTATGAATGACAGGAGATTGACGATTGCAGAGATAGCAGAAGCAATAGGCATTTCCTATGAACGAGCACAGAACATAATTTCCAACGATCTTAGACTTTCTACGGTCTCTGCCAGATGGGCAGACCTAGACTGCTTTCAGCCGAAAACAAACGCTCCCGCCAAACAGTATCACGGGATCGTTTGTATCAGTTCCAAAGTGATCCTCAAGATTTTCTTAGCCGTTTAGTAACTATGGAATTTGGGTTCACCACAATACACCAGAGTGTAAAGTACAATCCAAGCAATGGAAAAGTGCAGGGTCACCGCGCCCTAAAATAGCTTGGGTCGTTTTGTCAACCAGGAAGGTAATGGCTTCAGTTTTTTGGGACTGTATTGGGGTCATTATGGTTGACTACCTTGAAAAAGGTAAAACCATAACTGCGGACGATTAATGCACACACTTACGAAGTTTGCGTGAAGAAACAAAAATAAAAAGGCCTGGTATGTTGTCTAAGAAAGTTTTGTTCCACCAAGATAACGCTCCAGTCCATACTGCGGCGAAATCAATACTCAATACTTGTAGCCTTGAATTGTTGCCGCATCCATCCTATTCGCCGGACTTAGCCCCGTCTGATTACCATCTCTTCCCCAATCTAAAAATACATGGCAGGAGGAAAATTTCCGACGAATATGGAGGTACAAGAAGCTGTGACTGAATATTTTGATGAAATTGAAGATTCTTTTTTTTTAGGAGGAATATTAAAGCTAGAGACAAGATGGGAAAAGTGTATCGTCATTCTGGAGTTCTGGAGACTATGTAGAGAAATAAAATAATAAAAAAAATCGTTTTTCGGCTCAAAACTTTTCAATGCACCCTCTTTTACTGTTCAAGCTACACTCCACTGGAACGCCCATCCGTATAAGATCAAAACAGCTTCAAATAAGTATATGTTCAAAAAATGTATTCGAGAATACTTGTTAAATCATTGACTTTATTTCACTTATTCCATTTGTTTTTTTTTATTATACGTATATATATTTATTTATGTATTTATTTCTATATATGTACGTATCTATATATATATTTATTTATTTACCTATTTATACTTACATATATGTTACATTTTATTAAATTTAATTTTTATAGTCTTCATTTAGCACCTACCATCTACTTTTCACCATAACAAGGGTTGACTGTTAGAGAATGCCATTAGGCATTAAGTCCGCCCATTGTAGCCCTTAGCTTAAGGTGTAGCAATGAAGTTTAAATAAATAAACGACGACCCAAATGGCGTGAGTACTGTACCTGCCTCCTGCGTCAGAGGGTGGGGTTTCGATCCCCACTACTGGAAAAAATTTGTGATAAATAGTGTATATACGCATAGTGTTTTTCTAGTGCCTGGGTGTTTATATACGTATAATATGAATTATATATGAATTTACAAAAGAAAAGTATGTATATATTTTTTTTTATTATCTTTATTTTATGGGGGTTTTATCTATAAAGATACGCCAACCCCATCGTAACTTATACATATCACAACTTACGAAATACGAATCCTTAAAAGTATATAGATTTATTAAACCGGGAATTACTGTTTTATTGTTTCACTTTTGGGATTCGAAAATATATTAAATATAAGACCAACATCTAATAAATTTACATTCAGATCTTTAAACAGCAGTTCCCTTTTATTTCGGTTCCTTTCACAGTCCATCAGCATATGATACACATCTTCAATTTTATTGCATACCTCACAATAGGGTGAAGCAGCCTTTCCCATTAAGAAAGAAAATTTTGCCGATGGATAGTGCCCAGAACGAAGTCTAATTTAACATAATGTCTACTTAATTACAATCATGAAACCAAAATCCACAGAGAGGCTCGTTTTGAATGAATTTATACCATAGTCCTTTCTCTTTTGCGATTTCGTTGAAGTGGTTTTTCCAATTGTTAAAACATTTTATTTTAAACCTTGCAACATATTCCCAATAATCTGGTAGATATGAAACCTCATTAGATATGAACAACCAACCCTCTCGCCAGCCAATTTTGATAACCGGTCTACGTCCTCATTACCCCGCAATCCTACGTGTGCTGGAACCCATTGCAATATAATTCTACAATTAATGTTGGTAAAACCATAAATCACTTTTAGAATATCATATGCTATCGAAGCACCTCTGCAGCCAAAGACGCATCGAGCCAAATGTAATAAAGCACTCTTGCTATCAGTAAAAATCAACACTTTACGGATATTTTTATTAAAGGCGTACAGTATAGCTTGATATATTGCAATGAGTTCCAGGGACATAATAGAAATATTTGCCAAAATTTTAAAGCACTTTATGACCTATGTTTTAGACGAAAAAAGCGACTCCACCCTGGTCAATATTTTTTGATCCATCTGTAAAAATTCTACACCAATCATTATACTTAGACTCTAATTCCAAAACTATATTATGTAATAAAATATTGGGTTCATAAACTTTTTTTGGGTGTTTAACACATTCTAATTCACTTTGAATAATATTTTTCACTTGAACATTTGATATCCATGTATCTAAATTAAACATATTATGAATATCTGATGAAACAATTTGGAGCTGGTTTTATTTCATTGTATATAGTAGCAAGTAAGGGTTTCTTTTTATTTGTCCAATATCTATTATGTATATGTGTGCCCAATTCTGCAATTGTATTTAAATTTACATTATTAGACCATGACATTAGTTTTGAAATGTATTTATAAGCTAGGAATTGACGTCTTATTAACAATGGAGGTAAATACAATTCGCTTTCCATCACATGGATTGGGCTGCTTTTTATAAAACCACCTACTATCCTAAGAGCTTGATTTTGTATCTTATCATGTTTAGAAGTATGCATCCTGCTACTAGAGTCATACAAGTAGCAACCGTAATCTATTCTACTTCTTATTACTGAAATATATATTTTCCGCAAATGTTTAGTATGCATTCCCCAGGAGCTACCAGTTAATATTTTAAGTATGTTTAAATATTTTTAACTGTTTCATTAATATGTTTTTGCCAAAGTAAGCTTCGATCCAACCACATTCCTAAATATTTAATATGTTCTACCCTAGTCAAATGCTGGTTATATATTTTCAAACTAGACACTATTCCCCTTCTTCCCCTGCTGAAAATACAAAAATTTGACTTATTTGGAGATAGAGTCAATCCAATCTCATCTAGTAATAAACTTAAATGCGTTAGTGCTTCTTGCAAATAACGTTCGCATTTATTTATTTGTTTGTCACTTAGGAAGAAAACAAAATCATCTGCATATTGTGATATCATAACGTTACTAATCTGAACACATATTTTGTACGTAACTAGATTAAACAATAAAGGTGACAATGGATCTCCTTGCGCCAGACCTCTATTGGTCCACCTACATTCACTTTCTTCCGTACTAAACGACTTGATATATAAATGTCTTTCATTCATAAAAGACCAATCTGTAGTTCATCTATTATTTTTATAACAGATTCATTTGTTACATTATTATAGGCGTTTTCAATGTCTAAAAAACATGCAACTGTAGGAATGTTTTTTGTAAATCC